AAAAAAAAAAAAAAAAAAAGAATTCATTCTGATAAAAATAAGAGCAAAACATCAAATGCTATGCAAAAGGTTTACCGCAGTATTGTTACATACTTGAGTTAAATAGAGATATTTTTGTGTTTGAAAGCCTATAAAGTTTCTATTTCACGCATTGTTAAAACAAACTTATTTGAATTCCTGCGTATAATTACAGCAAGACTATCACCCTTATCGACTTGCTTTTCACCCTTATCGACTTGCTTTGAAAGCAATGCACACGGAAATCTGTAGCACCGACTTACTGCCCGGCGCATCCCGACCTTCACCTAATGCAAGCTTTCCTGTAAAGTTACAGCAGTTGATGACATTTGAAGGAAGAACCCAGCCAACACCGAGTCTTGATCCCATTTGATCTGGGTTTTACAAAAGTTTCACGCTAAATACCGCTCAACACAGCTCACAAAATGGTCAGAAAAAGATCAAAGGGAGGAAAAACAGGGGTTACCCTTAACAAGTGGAAGGTCACGGCGCGCTATTTGTCCTTCTCCTTATCCATAGGTTTTATTCTAAAGTAGCTGATGTTAAGGTAGTCACAGATATCCGTACCAAGAGCAAAGTTGTACCGTAGCTGTTCAAACAACACATGACCCTAGAATAGAGGGGTAAGACACAGTCAGTGGAGAAGGTGGACAATGGATAATGGACAAGACACTTCAAGTGCTTCTCTCCAACCAGTATGAATGGGTGCCAGCAACTTGTCAGGAAATCCTGAGTACGGTAGAAAGAGGAAAAGATGGGAGGGGAGGGGTTGCGCGCGACGAACTCGCATTCTATCCATGAATGGCCAGTTCCAGGCGTTCAGTTGGTAAAACAGCTCTGTAACAGTGAAGGGATGAAAGACGAGGGAGGTTTGGGCCGGGTCGCGTCAGCTTCTATCACGCCGTCTTCAATTTCGCTCTTTTTTACTAACTGAGCGCTTGAAACATGTTCATGGAAAGTAACGATACCTCGTGCTAAAGAGAGTTCCACAGCCTTGGGGCACACACAGCGAAGGACTGATCATACACTCACCCGTCATCACAAAAACAGTTTTGGATGAGTTTGGTAAAGGACAGCAAAATCCATTTCCCTGTTTTAAGATTCTGGTATAAAGCCTCGCCTATTTTTGTTGCGTGGCCAAAAGTATGACGCCATTTCTAAAAGTTTGCACTTTTCACTTATTTTGTGGTTGCAATTTTCCCAATTTTTTTTTAAATAGAACATTTACATTGTGTTCGATTTAAAAATACAAGAAGACTCACCATCATACACCACAATAAAACGTATTCATCAATTGGGGAGCCATAATGAATATTAAGAATCTGAAGAATTCCTCCGATCATTGTGGAATCTTTAAATTCAACAGGACTCCGTGTCATACAACCAACCTATTGGCAGTGAAGAAAATGTTAATGAGGAATCTAAAAGATGAACAACTGAAAGGTTCTAGGTAAAAATGTTCTTACAGTTTCAAAGTAATAATCTGCTTGCAAAGATCTGGTCTAAGAACTGAAGGAAAGTTGTGCCCTCTGATGCCAATACGCTTCTTTATGGGTTAGGAATTGGTCTTCCCACTGTGTATTGAAACTCTTGTACAGTTTCTGACACTAATTATTTGTGAGAGTGAAAGAATTGAGGTGCCTAGCTGTTCCATTTGATCCTCCAAGGCAATTAATGTTTTGTATGAAGCTTTCCCATTATGAGAGGAACATAATTCTTAATTTTTCACTTTGTTTCTGTCTCTGAGAAATGACATATGTAAAAATTCAAAGAAATTCAGACAATTTTCTTTAACATTTTTTTCTCAAGAAATCTCCTGCTTTTTAAAAATTATATATGAAAAGATAATATGACCTCCATATTAGTCCCAAATAACAGACAACCCATAAATAACAAAGCCCTCAGGCATGCCCCAAATGCTAATAACACATTAAACTAGTGTATAGCTCTCTCTGCCCACTCAAGTCCCCTTACAAAGAACTTTGCCTGTGCCCCTAATACTGGATAAAACAAAAGTAATTAAGACACAACACAATCACATAGTAGTAACAAAAACACTCCCCACAATAGCACATACCACTAGTTTGATTGTAATCTTGGAACACGCCATTCCAAACGCCATGACAAATAGACATGGGTGCTTATGGAATACACTTGTGGAGGAGGTTGTTGCAGTAAGATAAGCCATGTATAACATTGCAGCAATTGGAAACAATGGTGATAAAACACTAGTGCCCTGAAAGACAAACACAACTAAGTGATTCTTTGTATGACAAGTAATTTAGAAAACAGGCACATGATTTTGCAACTTTTGCAGATAAATTGTAAGTTCTTAATTATATTTAGGTACAGATAAAATGTTTAGTAATGGTTACCACAGTCATTGGTTTTCAAAACTCCTTGAGATTTCTGTGCACAGTACAGTTCAGTAGCAATTTCCAGTCTCCCTTCCAACAAATATTTTTACCCACTGAAACATTTAACATCACATTTCGACTTCTTAATAGTATGACATTTCTGAATCAATAAAAACTTGGAAAAAGGACAATTGATTGCTAATTACCACAACTGAAAAGGCAAGTTTTAAATCTAGATGACCCAGGAAAGTTACTTTAGAATCAGAATTGCATTGTTGTTCATACATACAGCAACTATAACCTTGTCAAGCAAGTGCAGTTCTTGGAAATTACATGCATGCTCCATGTTGGGGGTGGGGGAGAAACACTTGCACTCATTTTACTATAAGTACACCACTCACTGAGCACTTACCAGCTACAACAGTAAGGCAAATTGCATGATGTTAAAAAAAACTTACAGCAACTGTTGATCCATTTTTCCCTTTTCCACCTTCATATATTTGGAGAAATATTGATGAAAGATTGTAAATTGTTCCACACAGGGTACCCCCGAAGATAACATCCTTGTATGTGACACTGAAGTAAGGAACCTGCACATGACCAAAAATCAGGGAACTCAACAATTGATTCTTTAACCCAACAACGTGAAGAGAAAAAAGAAGTACACTACGTTTCTATATAAAAAAATAATACGGAAAGGGGAAATATGGACTGAAGAAGCCATCCACTCATACAGGCAGAGATTTATTTTCCTGCAGGGCAGTCAGCTCTGTTTCCTAAATGTCTGCCAGGTAGAGCCCTGAACAAGCCACTTTTCAACTCAGTTCCTAAAAGGCCACATTTTGGGTTGATGACACCTGTTCATTATCATCTCCTGGCATTTCCTTTTCACAAATGTGTACATCAACCCTTTCACTTCCAAAATATCAATGGTACTTCTCCTTACTGTCTGCCTTACAATTCTCAATTATAGTTTTGAGAATTTGGTATTGGATCACCTTAAAATCCCCTAATTCATATTTTTCTTTATTCTCATAACATGTCTGCTTGATATGTGGGAAGAAATTCTGTTTTGGTCACTCATCAACAATCCTAATACAGTTCATGATTACCTTGGATGACTACATACATTCAAAAAATACAGATGTATACAGCTCGTCAATAAATGCCCAACATTAGTCATGTGACATATTAGAATTGTAGCAGCAGGCCTACCTGCTGGGACCATACTTGAACACCAAAGATTCCAGACACCATGAATATACCCATACCAGCAACTTGAATCTCTGTTACATCCACACTGAAATTTCAACACGCCAAAATATTATTAACTTTGCTTCATGTACATGCAAGTGTATGACTGTGTAACTCTAGTTTGGTTAACTTTCCAATAATGAGACCTTTCACCCACTGGTATTTCCTTTAAAGAAAAGCCAGGCCTGCTATAGGAGTTTACATCGTTAGGGGTGGAGTTTCTCTTAAATCAGTTATGTGAAAAGCTTATACTTTCTCCTGCAGTTGAAACAGAAGTAAAAATTTATTCACTTACGTTCCAAACTTTATAGTACCAGAGACATATGCTTGCCAGTGAGCACAATAAAACATGAAGGTTGCCGTGAATGTTATGAAGAACATCCAGCTAGGGTGTGTCCCAAGCTCTACTGCAACACTGATAGCCAACATCATTATCACCATGGAAACAGAGTCACAGCCATGATCTACTAATTCTCCCAATGGTGAAGCACTTTTTGTACGTCGTGCTTGTTTACCATCAACTGCATCAAGAGACTGATATGCAAACAGTCCCAGAGCACTCAAGAAAAAGGCCCACCATGGTGCCTGTGGAAATAAAGAATATCAACCATCATAAATATGGCTATATGCAAATATTGATGGTAATCAATGTCCAGGTTAAAAATCTTGGTATTTTTATGTCATTAAAAGGTTCAGTAACAGATGTGTGTGTAACACATGTGCATCCTTACATGAGAGATTTACCTCAGCGATCCAAATGCAAGTTAACCCTTTAACTCCCAAGATCTCATTAGTATTTCTCCTTACTGTCTGCCATACAATTCATATGATGTTAGTTTTGAGAATTTGGAATTGAATCAACCGATAATCCCCTAAGTGATATTCTTCTTTATTCTCATTACTTGTCTGCTTGACGTTGTACTGATAGTGTAAGGAGAAATTCTGTCTAGGTCGCTAGTGAGACTTAAAGGGTTAAACCACAAGTAGTTGTCAAACTACACTTGAGCTCCATCTAGACACCAAATGCTTACATGTATCAATGTCTAATTTGATCTACAATTTAGATCTCCTCTACATATGGATACATAACTGATAAATAAACTTTGCTCTCTCTCCACTTGATTATGTGATACCCGTCATTCAACAACAACAACAACAACAACTACAACAACAAATATCATGTCAGGTCAGGTCATCTTTGAAAGGTTAATAAAATGTTTTCACTTTAAAAAGTTCACCTGGTTTTAAGCAAATGCATGGATGATACATTGGTTTAATTTAATGAGGGCTAAATAAAATAATAACTTACTAAAAAGCTAGATAATGAAAATTAAAATGTCACAGCTGGATGCATTACTGCGTAAAATACAGCGTTTAATTAAATACATTTACTAGTTCCCTTTAATAGACAATATCACGGTTTAATGACACACACGAACAATTTGTTGGTAGAGTTTTCTTTAGAAATTCGTGAACGTTCCAAGTTTGATTGACTGATGGGACCGCGAATAAATTAGTCTCACACAAATGATTTATGCTACGCCGGCAATTCAAACTAACCAATCATTATATCAGTAAACATTTACTATCAAAGCACGCTATTAAAGTTCCAGAGCTTAGCTAAATACAGGCTTAACACGACAAATTCATAGCTTTCGTGTAAATTCATTGCTGTGAGCAATTGAGATCTTGAAGCTGAAGTTATGTTATCAGTTCTAGTTTGGAAAAGAATGTTTTTTATTGAATCCAATTACAAGCTAAAATGAATGAAACAGAACAAAACATGTATTATTCACCAACAGGACTCGCTTCAAACACCGCGATTATCTAAAGCCTGAACAAACTGAAACGGAAAGTTATCTTTTATTTTACATCATATCTTACCTCTCCTTTGGCTTGAGGACAATACCACATTAAAATAAGGGAGGTGACTACATTGATGACTAATCCTGAGATTGTAATGGTGTTTGGAGCTAGCCACAGAGGAAGTTGTTCCACAAGCCATCGCCAGTAAACTTGGAAGCAAGGGTCTAGAATCGATACGCATTGCGCGCTGTATTTGTGCTCTGAAAGGCGTTTTAACTGAGCCTCGTTCAAAACCGAATTCATTGTGACACGTCCTGGCTCACTAAAATTTCCTCCGATTCAATTCGTTGCCAAAGGGAAGATTTGAAGACCGCCAAAGCCACGTAAATATAACATTCAGTGATACCAAATGTAAATGCATTAATCCGTGACTAGTTTCATTCTTCGAAGACCGAAGGCCAGGTCACATTTCCATTACTGGCGCGGGCGCTAAGAGAACCGGAAGTTAGTGTTCGTTTCCGGTAAGCTTGATCAAGAGACAGTTAACATCTGACAACTTACATTCAAGAAAATTGGATACAATTCAGTTTCATTTTAACGTCGTTGATTATAATTTCAGCTTACGAAGACAGAAAAAAGGCTTTTATCGATTTGAGATGAATATTTCCTTTAGATGAACGTCTAGGAGTCAGAAGTTTCCGTTACGTACATGCAAATAGGTTTTCAGGTTTTTTGTTATGCAAAGTATAGCACTAACTTTTACGAACAATTTGCATACTGTTCATAGAGTAAGTTTATAGTTTAATATATATTATTGTTTAAAATAATGCCTTCAAACTGCTGATAAAGCCCGGTTATTTAACCGTAAATCAAGACTGAAACGCCATTTTTGAAGGGCAGGTGAGAATTTTTGCATTACGGAAGTATTATCTATAACTAAGATCGATTTGATAACCTAAGAACATTTCCAGGGATAGTAAACTCAATTTACGGAGCGAGCCTTGATTTAAACAACGTTCTTTCG